TGGCGTTAGCGGGAAAGAGAGGGTAACGGGATTGGCCATGCGTTCTCTGCTGTTCGTTGCCGTTGGTGTCTAATTTTGGACACGTCAACACGTGTAATGGCAGGATTAGGAGATGTGCAATGGTAATGGGTACAAAATTCTCTTGTGTGAGCCCAATAAATACTTTGTGGGCCCTTTTTTACTCCTTTGGGCCTGCATCTCAGAGTGCTGCTATTTTACTCCCTCCACCACCCCCATCATTTTCCTAGTTTTTTTTTAAATTCTAAATTTACTTGTTTTACTTTTTACTTTTATTTTTTATTTTTTCTAAATCCTAATTTCAATCTCCTCTCACTTTCACTTTCTCTTTCCCTTTCAGCAGCAAACCCCCATCCTCCACCTTGTCACTTTTTTTCTTTTTCTTAATTTTCACTTCCGTTAACACAAAATTTGACTGAAAAAGCAAATTATGCATGGTATAAATTTAAAACATTTATAACTTCTGATGAGTTTTGAAGTATCATGATTCCATAATATAATCTCCTAAAAATTTATTCCCCACTTCCTTGTCTTTAAATAACAAAACTTGAAAATTTATGCTTAAAATTACATATGTGCTTACAATGGTGCAATGAAAAAGAAGTATATTTGTTGAGTACAAAATAAAAAGTGAATAAAAGAAAAAATAGTTAGCTCAGTTTATCGTCTTATTCATATTGTTCATGCAGAATTTGTTTTTTCTGTCAAATTTTCTATTAACAGAAATGGAAATTAAAAGAAAGAAAGAAGGTGACAATGGAAATTGGAGGCTTGCGGCTGAGAGTGAAAGAAAAAGTGAAAGTGAGAGGGAATTAGAATTAAGATTTTGAAAAATAAAAATAAAATTAATAAAAAAAAAGTAAAAGAAATAAATTTAGAATTAAAAACAAAATTGGAAAAAGTATAAAGAGAAGATGAGGTGGTGGAATTCCATTTTCTTCCTTAACGGATCCAAATCCGTCTTAGTTATAAATTGCCTTCAAGTTCTTGTTATTGTTTTTTAACATGTATTTTACATATTTATATTTGGTAGAGAGATTAAACATAATGATCACAAAAATAAGACAAATCTAAAAATTATTCAGAGACCAAAATTTATTTCTTAAAAAGAAAAATTAAGGTCAGTCAAAAAATTATTGAGAAATTATAAATCAATATTTTAGAAAGAATAAAGACAAAAAATATAAATCCTAAAAAATGTTACATGATTCTCCCGCTTCATTAATAACAGACGTGAGTGCTTGTATGATTATCACATTGTTATTTAATGATAATATGTTGTAATTCCAAACCAATATTTTAAATAAAGAAAAAATGAAATGAAAAACTAGAGAGGGATGGTTTTTTGGGCTAAAAGTAAAATTATTAAAAAATTAGCATTTATTGAAAACGGGCCTACGAAATAATAAAATGCAACCATACAACTGTACACCTACCTATCTTATCATTACTTCCAAATGGCAACGTGATAACCGAATAGGATTAATAGAATATAATATTTCATTTTGAAAAAAAATTATATTATTTTTTTGTTTCGGTAAGATTTTGCGGGACCGAGAGACGAATCTTTGCTAACGTGTCTTCCTTTCTTCCGAACGCTGGAATCGCCTGAATTGCTTGCCTTTCTTCTGTCGAAGCCGTTCGGCTGACTTCAGTCTTGACCGATCGGTTGCCTTCGTGCTCCAGGGAGAGGTACTTGCAAAAGATACTCCGATGCTTAAGTTAGGCGTATGCTTTGAAGAACCTCGGCTCTTGGTTGAGTATTTAGTGAATTGTTATCACTGCTGAATGTTTGAGAATATGAGTTGAGTGTGAGTAGACCCTGAATGGAACGTGAGTGGAACGTCCCCGGCTTTTGGCCCTGACTTTGTATTTATAATTTACCTCATGGATCCTGAGCTGATACAAGCCCAATAAAATATAAACAGAATAAGATATAAACAGATTACCTGAAAATCCGGTTGGTTGTTTATAACCTGCTTATCAATATCTTTAATTAGATATTCTTTGATTATTTTATCATCTGCTGGACTGTTGGCCCAACAATAGCTTAAGTTGGCCCAATTGCGGCCCAATCTTTGACCTGAGTGGATGGACCGAACGGTGCTGAATGTTAACCGTTCGGTCTCCACTGGGTACGATACATTATGCCCCCCAAGTCCGAGTTAAGTGTTCGGCTTTAGCCGTGGTTAACTATAGGACTTATGAGTTTGAAAGAGGCTGTTTTTCCTATAGTGAGGAGCTTACTTTCCATGTAAACATGAATCGAGAGGGATTTACCTCTCGGCCTTCAACATGAATCGGGAGGGATTTACCTCTCGGCCTTCAACATGAATCGAGAGGGATTTACCTCTCGGCCTTCAACATGAACCGAGAGGGATTTACCTCTCGGCCTTCAACATGAACCGAGAGGAATGTACCTCTCGGCCTTCAACATGAACCGAGAGGGATTTACCTCTCGGTCTTTGACTTCGACCTAGGAATTCCTCCTAGGGAACGGGCTTTATTGTTCGGCTTTGAGAGAGCTTTACCTCCCTGCTTTGACTTTGACCTAGGAGTTCTTTTTAGGGAACGGGCTTTACCGTTCAGCTTTGAGAGGGCTTTACCTCCCGACTTTGACTTTGACCTAGGAGTTCTTCTTAGGGAACGAGCTTTACCGTTCGTCTTTGCACTAGGAGTTCGTGGAGAACTTCCTAATGGTAGGACTTTACCTCTTTGCCAAGAGGGATTTACCGCTCGGTCTTTTAGCTAGGAGTGCTTCCTAGTGAATGGGGGTTACCGTTCGGCTTTACACTAGGAGTTCGTGGAGAACTTCCTAATGGGAGGACTTTACCTCTCTGCCGGAAGAGATTTACCACTCGGTCTTTTAGCTAGGAGTGCTTCCTAGTGAACGGGCTTTACCGTTCGACTTTGAGAGGGATTTACCTCTCTCCCGAGAGGGATTTACCGCTCGATCTTTGACTTCAGGTTGTTGACGATAGGGATTTATCTCTCGGGCGAGAGGAATTTACCTCTCGGTCTTTGACTTCAGGTTTTTGACGAGAGGGATTTATCTCTCAACCGAGAGGAATTTACCTCTCGGTCTTTGACTTCAGGTTGTTGACGAGAGGGATTTACCTCTCGGCTGAGGGGAATTTACCTCTCGGTCTTTGACTTCAGATTGTTGACGAGAGGGGTTTACCTCTCAGCCGAGAGGGATTTACCTCTCGGTCTTTGTCTTCAATGAGAGGCATTTACCTCTCGTTCTTCGGCATCAACTCTTTTAGTTAACGAGAGGGATTTACCGTTCGGTCTTTGTCTTCAACGAGAGGAATTTACCTCTCGGCCGAGAGGGATTCACCTCTCGGTCTTTGTCTTCAACGAGAGGGATTTACCTCTCGGTCTTTGACTTTGACCTATGAATTCTTCCTAGGGAACGGACTTTACCATTCGGATTTTTGACGTAGGAGTTCGTTTTGGAACTTCATATAGGACGAGAGTGTCAGTCCCTGGGGACGTGCAACACCGCTCGGTTTTTCAGCATAGGAGTTCGATTTGGAACTTCCTAGAGGACGAGAGTGTCAGTCCTTGGAGACGTGCAACACCGCTCAGTTTAGGACCACGGGCTTTTGGAGGGCGTTCCCTGGGTTTTGTTGACACCAGTGATGGCTTACTTCTCGGTCTTCGACCTAGGAATTGCTGGAGAATTTCCTAATGGATGAGAGGGATTTACCTCTCGGTTCTTGCCCTCATCTTGGACGAGTGGTCTGTATGGTCTTGACACCTGCGCTGTGAAGCCGAACGGCTGAATACTAGTGAGGCCGAATGACCGAGCTGTTGCACGGTTGAACACTTGATGCCAAATTTGGCTAGGTGGTAAGTGCGTCATTAAATCTTTGAACAATATTATAATATTGAATTAAGATATTTAAATTAAATCATATAATAAAATGAATTTATATCGAAATAATTATCTATAAAGCCGTTGAAGCTTGTTGACGTTGATGTTGAGGTTGCATCCTTGTCTGGTTCATTGCGGTTTCAGTAGGATGCCCCCCGGCCCCACGGTGGGCGCCAAAATGTTTTGGTAGGATTTTGCGGGACCGAGAGACGAACCTTTGCTGACGTGTCTTCCTTCCTTCCGAAGGCTGGAATCACCTGAGCTGCTTGCCTTTCTTCTGTCGGAGTCGTTCGGTTGACTTCAGTCTTGACCGATCGGTTGCCTTCGTGCTCCAGGGGGGAGGTAGCTGCAAAAGATACTCCGACGCTCAAGTTAGGCGTGTGATTTGAAGAACCTCGACTCTTGGTTGAGTATTTAGTGAATTGTTATCACTGTTGAATGTTTGAGAATGAGTTGAGTGTGAGTAGACCCTGAATGGAGTGTGAGTGAAACATCCCTGGCTTTCGGCCCTGACTTCGTATCTATAATTTAGCTCATGGATCCTGAGCTAATACAAGCCCAATGAAATATAAACATAATAAGATATAAACAGATTATCTAAAAATCCGGTTAGTTGTTTATAACATGCTTATCAATATCTTTAATTAGATATTCTTTGATTATTTTATCATCTACTGAACTGTTGGCCCAACAATAGCTCAAGCGCTGACCCAATTGCGGCCCAATCTTTGACTTGAGTGGATTGACCGAACGGTGCTAAATGTTAACCGTTCGGTCTCCACTAGGTACGATACATTTTTCATCTATATAATATAAAAATTATTAATTAATAAATATTAATCATTTTAATCTGTATAATATAATTTATAAACTGACTTACAATAATAATTTACTATATGGCAACGTTAACTTCGAAATATAAAATTATCGTATTTTAAAATATAAAAAAACTTAATTGAATTTTAAATAAGTTATTGATATATTGACATATTCTAAAATTGAAAAACTTGATCGTATAAAAAATTAAAAAACCTGATTGAAACTTCTATTTCAAATTAAGCAAAATAAAAAGAATAGTTAACCCAACAAAATATGATTCATATGAAACTATATAGTTGGCACAGTATCGAAATAGTGCAAACTATCAAATGTCCATTTTTGGAAACAACTTATATAACATATTGTTTCCCAAAAGCGTCACTAAAGACAAAACTCTTGTAGACCACAAATGTTGGCTATAGTTAAAAAAAAAAAAAAAATCCTTCTGATTTCTATTTGCCTAATTCAAAATGGGAGGAACCACTCGAAGCATCATACTTTGAACAAAAGATACCATCTGTAAAACAAAATTCAACCACACAGCATGTAAATACATAAATATAAAAATTCAATGAGAATAAAGTAAAATCAGGCCTGAATATACTTCAAATATAATAATGCATAGAACAACTTTTTACATTTGCAATTAAAACTCACATTTAGTTGTCTAGTATAAAAATCTAAATAAGAGAATTGAACATAAATGAACATAAATGAATCAAGGATAATCAAGGATATATTTAGAAAGCTTCTTCTTAGGAAGTTTTATAGTAGAAACATATAAAATATTAGTTTGATTAAATTATAAATTAAAATGGACTTACTTACAAATTAAAAATAAAAAATCTAGAAAAACTATATTATAGAGTTTCTAGAAATTGGCTTTTGTATAATTAAGATATTTTGTTTCTTGTAAAAGTTCTCATGGAGACGTTTCTCTAAACATATCTTAAGAAATTGTATTAGATGCAATATATAATTATAAAACTTTGAGGTTTATAATTCATTTCACCCATTAATATTAACAGTAATATCTAAGTTCTTATTTTGGTCTTTGGTATGAAGATTACAAATTCCAATACCACAAAACAATTATGCCTATTCTGAATTTATGTTATGTGAATGAATCACCTACTTTGACTTAATATCATAATTAGATTATCATTTTTTGACCTTAATCCCTTCATTAGAATAAATATCTACATTTAAGATATTATTTGTTTTAAAATTGATAACCTTTTTAGTTTTGTTTTTGAAAAATATTTTAAAATATTAAAATAAGGTAAATTATTCTTAATTTTCATTCTTAAACAATGTAAAACCCAAAAAAATGATATTTTAAAAGTGATAGCAGTTTAAAAATAGTGAGACTCGGTTATCTTAATATTAAATGAGTTATTTATAAATAGTTTTATTATAAACTAGTTTCATTATTTTAAAATGTATATCATTTTCTACAAACTGTTTTTTTAGAGTTATCTACCTTCTCTCTAAGAGTTCTAACTCCTGAGTTATATCTTTGATGGTCAGGATATACCTAAGAGATCACTGCATAATAACCTTTACTTCTACCGGATTAATTTTTTTATTTAGAACATCATTTTTCCTCTCTATTTTTGGTCTATGATCATGCAAAGGAATCTGTTTTGCATGTATCCAAAAATGATTTTTCTTTGATTTTTGGTCAATTTGAGGTTTTAAGGTTTGATTCCGATCATCAATTGGTGATTTGTAAGTTTTTTTAGAGTTCCTTGCAGTGGAAGTAATGGTTGGATGTTCTTAGAGTTGTGGTAGTTTTTCTGAGGCAAAAGTTAAATGTCTATGTATAAATTGATATTGTTTTGTAAGTTTGGGAGTTGTATGTGTATTAACTTGATAGAGTAATAATTTGAAATGTTTATGAGATATTAGTTCAATGAAATGTATATGCTTTGGTATGGTATGGTTGCAATCTGATAAGATGAAGTTTGGTTATTAATATTGTCATTAAATGCATGTCATGAAATTGTATTGATGTTGGTAGTTGATTGAAATGTTTCTGAAGTGAGGAATGGTCAAAGTTATGGTTTTAGTAGTTAAAAAGGGGGTTTTAATTGTCAAGTTGGTGAGAAAAAGGTTGGTTTGATGAATTTAATATTCCAGGTCTATTATGGGAGTATTTTAACGTTGTGAGGAGTATGTTTTGGGTGGAAATTGGTTTGGAATTAAAGAGAGTGGTCCATGGTTGGTGTGTGAGTGGTTTTTAATGCAAATTGGTGATTTTGGTAGTGAAATTATGAAGGAGGGAGTTGAGACAGGTTTTGGAAGTCTGGGGTCTGTAATTGAGTTACTTAGAACTTGTCTAGGCCTTTAGTTTGCTCTTTTGATGTATGGAATGGTAGAATTGGGTTTAGGTAGTCTAGAATGGGTAGTTTAAGGTTTGGAGTGATCATTTCAAGTTAGAGGTTTGTTCTTAGATATTTCTCAGTGTTTAAGAGGTTGTAGGAAACATTTAAACTTGTGTAGAAGGTTAACAAAGTTAAAATAGGTTAATTTTAAAAACTCATGCAGCGTTGAACGCCCTCAAACATCCCTAGACGCCCTTTTTAAGGAAAGATCACGTGTAGATGCTCCTAAACTCCCTCTGGGTGTCTTTTTGCAAAAAGATTTTTTAGTTTTATCTTTAAAAAATATTTTAAAATATTAAAATTAAGTAAATTATTCTTAATCTCTATTCTTAAACGATACTTATTGAAAATTTTCTTAATTCTTAATTGAAAGGTTTTTCTCGCATATCTAATAATCTCACATAACTTTAATGACAATTTACCTTCCTTCTTCAATATACGAGACACAAAATCTCATGCTTAAATCAAACCATGTGTATACGATGTTATTATATTAACGATGTTATCTCATCTAACTTATATTTAAACAATTAAAAGAAAATTGGAGGCAGTATAACCAACGAAATCAAGACTTCAATGTCGGAAAGAAAATTAGAACATTAAGTTAAGTTCTTACCGAAGCAAACCCAATGCACATTATACTAAATCCGGGAAAATCGAAAGGTGCCTTTTCAGAAAGGAAGAGAGCTGACAATTGAAAAAGGCACTTGTTAATAAATTGGGTGATTATCTAAATCTAATCATATTCGCATGCTCTCACCTGTTAATGGAGAGAAAACTAAGGGAGAAACTATATGTGCAACTGAACATATGCCAGAGATGCAACCTTGAGCCTTTCCCTAAAAGGAAGAGAAATGAAGAGGAAAATTAAACAAATTTTAAGTTATCTACCAAATGTTTAAAAAAAAAAACTAAACTAAAAGCTTTCTATCATGCAAAACTTGTTTCTTTACTTCAGTAAAAAATGAGTAAATTATACTGATGTTAATCTTTTATTAATTAAAACAACAACCCTGCATTATGTTCTCTATGTAATATCAATAAACAAAGGCACGAAAATTATACAGAGTACAAACAGTCATGACCTCACATACAAAACACTAACTTCTACAATTGAAATTAGGATTTATTTATTTATAAGAAAGTAAATCTTAACCAGCTTGTTTAACGTTAATCAGTATTATTAACTCCATACCTGCTCATGGGGACCAACTTGTTTAGACACAATACTTCGTATCTGCAAATGTAAAACGTTTTGTTTTGAATAAACTACTTTGAATGATGAGAATGAAAAAAAAAACTATGCTTTTAAAGAATATAGAAACATAAAATGAGGAAGTACACTCACACAAGGTTGTGAGAAAACAAATAAAATTGAGAACATGGCAGAAGCGTAAGGAACCTGTCAACACTCACAATATAAATTATACAACATAAAAGGAAAAAAAGAAGAAACATGGACAACAAAAGGATAATAGAGGCATTATGGCATATACTAGTGTGAATAATCAACCACTCTATCTCAATTTTAACCTCGTAATGATGCTATATATGGAAAAGTAATTGACAGAAACAAACTTGTAATTAGAAAATATTGAAAAAAGACATACCAAGGAGGACCATGCTATGCTGTAAAGGAACATCTGCATCCCATTTTAAAAGTTTAGAACTTCGTAAAAAGAGAAAATGTTTTAAGGTTGTATTAAAAAAATACTTACGTGTACACAATGAAAGAATAATCCTATTGAAAGTAGCCTTGCCTCGCCCAGAATAGGAGCCAAAATCGGCATAACAAGAAGCTATTACAATCAATGTTTAATACTTAGATTCTTAATCTATAAACATAGAAATTGAAGATTTATGAAAGAAGAAGAGGCATATCAACTGATAATTAAAATATAACCATGTAAAAATACCTGTGACACAGTCCCTGAAATTCCAGAAATAACCATCAAGTCAGCAAATTGATTCTTATCAAAATGAAATTGAGCCTTTAAGAAATACTGCACGCAGAAGAAAAAAAGTGTTATTTAACTAGCTCTAGTTATATACATAAAAAATAATTTTAATATCAACTCGTCAAAGATAATGCAGTTGTAAGTTTCAAATTGCATTGGTTACTCCATTCTATAAGGGTTAAAAAAGAAAGAAATTAAACATCAGTAAATTGGTAATTAAACATATCAAAAGCCTGTAGCAGAATATGCCTCCAATAAGCAGAGAGAGATATCAAGTAAAGATATATAAATACAACGATCTTGAACACTGCATGATTTTGCTTGAAGTTAAGGAACAAGATTCAACCAATGAAGAATGTGTGTAAGGATCAATGTATGCTCTAACACTGATATAAAACTGCACAAACTTTCCCAACACCTAAACTTACGAATAAAAACAAATCAATAACGTGTGTGCATGTTATAAAAAATGGAACTTGGACAGGATAGAGATTAAAGAAAAAGGTATATGAAAGGTGGAAAAGAAAATATATACCAGCATTGATCCATGAAGGCCAACATCAGCAAGGTTACTAAAGAATGCAACAATTGCTGCTTGTGTAATAGTGAAGCTGAAAAATCAAACCAAACGTGTAAAACTATGACACAAAAAAAAAACATGTTTCTTTGATGGGAGGAGAAGAAGGAAAATTGTTGCACCTGCTACCGAGGAAGGAGGTTAGGTCCTTGAATGAACGCAATGCTTTAAGAAGATGCTTGTTACTTTCCAATTTTGCATCGACCTTAGAAACTGTGGGGTTTTGTTGTGAAATGATTGGGGTGTAAAGGTGTTTGTCATCAATGACTGAATCTTGAAGAAAAAATTTCATGTACACTGCTCCAATCACAGCAATAAGAGTAGAAACCTTATTCAGGAGAAAATGTGTTAATTCTGACATAATCTTATAAAATCAATTTGTAAGGTGAGATTATTCTTAAATTGGTGAAACTTCTTACCAGAAAATATCAACACAAAATACCTGAAAAGTTTGGGCAGTGGATAAGAATCGAGCTGATAAAGTGGCACACACGAACGCGGCAGATCCTATCCCTGAAATAATGCCGAATGCAGTGCTTCTTCCACTTTCTGGAATGTTATCTGCCTGAAAAAGATAGAGATGTAATAAAATCGGTGAATGTCTCATATGTATATATGTAGACAAAAGGAAAGACATAAAACTGTGTTCATAAATAACATCAACAGAGTTTTTGGATAAGAAAAAAAGAACACATAAAGAAGAAAGAATTCCTCAACCGAATGTTTAAGCTTGACAACAAACTCACGATAATCTTCCAAAGACCGAACATTATATGACGTTGGAGAAAATTAACATTCACTGAGGATAAAGAACTTGATCAAAGAGAAAAATCGTCGTGTCTTGTCGCTATACAGGGTCAGAAAACTCATTTTCTTTCATATCAAGATACGCCTCTACTGCTACTTATAAGATGAAAAATGACATCGTCCATTTAAAAATTACATTATAAGTACATTGCTCGATCTTGACAGGTCTTGAATATCACATTATAAGTACATTATATTTTTTAAAGATTCTTGTTGTTAAGTATGAATATCATATTTGATACATGTTCTTGAATTAACCATAAATACCTCATTAATGTTAATTATTATAACGGAACGTATATGTTTAATTACTTCGTTATAAAGACTTTCAATATATATATATATATATATATATATATATATATCATATTATATTTATGAGAACCGATTGCTAAGACAACTTATGTCATTAATAAGTCTTTCACGAGATGATTAACTGAATAATAACTTACTTACAGTTAAAGAAAATATTGAAGACTTACCACATAAGCTAGAGCGAGGCAAGGGACGCTTCCTTCGCAAACCATTGAAATGAGTATTTTGAACACATAGTACACATAGAAGAATTTTTTGGTCCTGTTGTAAGCTAATATGCCTGTCAAAACAAAGATCATTTACTATTTATTAACACCTAACACAAAATTTGAATTTAAGATTATATCTGAAAAGAATCAGGTATATTTTAAACTTTATTATTTGATTATTGCCATGTATGTTTATGCAACTTCAAAAGTAAAATGATTTCATTTTAATTAATTATATGCATAACTTTTTATCTCTCTGTATATTATGTAAAAAAAAAAAAGCTTCCCTTATCGCTTAATCATGTAATATTACATTACTCAAAAAAAATTAAGTTTTATATTAAAATTATACTTAAAATTTGATTTCTTTGAAGAGCCATCGAACACAAAAGTTACCTGTGGGAATGATCGTGAGGATCATAGGAACTGTGAGCATGGCCTTCCTCCCATACTTATCGGACATATTACCTAACAATGGCATCATCACGAGCGTGCCCACTCCAATCATCTGCACAAAATAACATTGTTTTTACCATAACCATACAAAGCAGATGGATTTTTTTATTCAGCGGTTTCGTTTAAGAAAATTATATATATATATATATATATATATATATATATATATATACTGTCTT